AAAGAGTAGAAATATAAATATGTACAATACAAATACATAAAAAATAATACAAATAATACAAATTGAGCCTTAAGATGTAACCATTTAAATAATAATGAGTTATAACCTTTTAGGATGTTGAAGAACTCTTCTATGTTTTGAAAATCTCCTTGTAGGACCTTAATGAAGATCTTTCACTAGGTTGGAGCTAAGGTCTTTAATAATTCTGGTTTTAGTGTTTGTAATGTCCCTTGGGCAAGAATGCACGATTAGTTTTTTGCTCGTGTGGGTCCGAGTATTCATGAGATAGAAATCTGAAAATTTGTAATTTGGTGGGGCCGCGACAATGGTTCTTGGGATGAGAGTTGTTTGAGAAGTCTTTTTTATGATAGTGTTTTGGGGTAGGGGTGTCCATGAAAAACCGAATTGAACTGATCGGTTTGGAATTTTAGAAAAACCGAAGGATCAGTTCAGTTTTTGGTTAACCTACAAAAAACCAGCAGTTAATCGAACTGACCATTATATATATTTTTAATATACGTCACATATTTTCTATATATTATATATTTATTATATATAAATATATACGTATATTATATTTATAATAATCTATTTATAAATATATTATATATAATTTATTATTTATAATATAGTATTATACATATATTTATATAATATATATTATAAATATAAAAAACAAAAAAAATTGAATAACCGAATCAGTCAAAAACCGAAACCGATGGACCGGTTAACCGATGGTACCGGTTCGGTTTCAGTTTGGAGAAATGGAAAAATCGGTACCATCGGTTCGATTCGCAAAATATGCCCATGGTTCGGTTAATCAAACTATAAACACCCCTATTTTGGGGTTAGTTTTAGTTACTCATATTTATAGGATGGAGAGTGGGAATTTATTTTTTGGGGCTCCTAATAGAAATGAGAAGCTCTGTTTGAAAGTGGTTGTTTATTTGTTTATTTTTTATGGTCTAAGAGAGCGAATCAATTTCCCCCTTCAACCTTAAAGTTCAGCTTCGATCAATGCAAGTCCGTGCTCAAACTGTTTGAACATCCTCTTGCAACTTTGCATTGGGAAATGTCTCCCCATGAAATAAAGCACATAAGTATGGAGATATTCCCAATGCAAGGTTGTAAAGGCTGTTCAAATGGATGTTACACTGACCAAAGCAGATCTCTAAACCTTGTGCCTAATTAGAAAAATCTAGATGCTTCCTATTAGACCTACATATAAATTGTTTCTTTGGAGCGTTGTTAGGAATTTTGTTTGTCTTTTCGTGGTTCTAATTGATTCAAAGTGTGCTTTTTGTAATACTAGTAATAAGGATGTTTCACTTATTCTTTTACTTGTAATTTTGTTAGGGATATTTGGTGGAACTTCTACGGGTGTTAGATTTGATGGTTTAAGATAAAATTATGTTGACGTTTTTCTTTTCAACATTCTCAGGTGTTTTTCTTTTAATATGGATAGAAGATTTTTTTTTTTTTGGTTGAGTTGTGTTATTTGTTATAATATTTGGAGTTTTAGAAATGATTTTGCTTTTAGGGCTGCGTTTGGAAATGATGTAAATAAGTGTAAATGCAAATATGTAGAATGTAAAATGGTTCATATAATTGCAAAATTGGGTTAGTTTTGCAATGACAAATTTATCTTCTTACCAAACAGATTTTTAGCTGTAATGGATGCAAATATGAATTCCAATAAAGTATATGCTTTTTTTTATCAAAAGCCTACTTGAATGTAAATTTACTTCTTTTTTATTGATATACTTTTACATCTTATTATCAATGTAAATATGTGTTGGTTTGTCATTTGTCAATGCATAAATTTAATGTTGTCAAACACAGGTGATGTAACCGTTTTTGGTCACATACCATTTTTTGTGATGTATAAATTTTTTGGCTAAGTACCTCGTGTTTGACCTGGTGGTGACGTGCCTTGGTGATGAGCTACATGGTGGCGAACTCCCTGGGGGAGAACTACTTGGTGACGAATTGCCTGGTGATGCTCCCTGGTGGCGAACTGCCTAGGGGCGAACTGCTTGGTGGCGAACTGCCCGGTGGCGAACTGCCTGGTAGTGCTCCCTGGTGGCGAATTGCCTGGTGGCGAACTGCCCGATGGTGAACTGCCTGGTAGTGCTCCCTGGTGGCGAACTGCCCGGTAGTGCTCCCTGGTGGCGAACTGCCTGATGGCGAACTGCCTGATGGCGAACTGCCTGGTGGCGAACTGCCT